TAATTAATGAATGAACTGGCTTTATCTCCCTACAAGTAAGAAAATACCACCCCTTATTAAACTCAAACCGTGACACACACAAAATGTTTAAATGGTAAGAAAAGACTAGAGAAACAAGTGTGTTCAATGAGAACGATCCAAACGAAATAGAGATGAGACAACAAGAGAAGATATTGAAGGTTGAAGTATGCGACCAGAAGAATGTGAAAACAAATCAGTAGGAAAGAGGAAACAGAAAACTGAAAAATAACTAAGGCAAAGGAGTCAAAAGCAAAGAAAGAAGTAACAAGAGACGCCGAAAAGAAAACGAAGAAAATACCATATCATGAAAGAACATTTTAACAACCCAGCAACTTCCCTCCTTGGGGTTCCATTTGGGCACCTTAGGCAGGATTGTCGCGTCGGCCGACGGGCTGAGCGCAAAGCGGCGACCGAGAAGCGCAGGGAGGAGAGAGGCGCAGGCAAGGGGTGTGGAGGTGCGCAGAAGGCGGGTCGCCTTTTCCTCCGCGAACCGTGCGCGCACAGCTGCCTTCCGTTTCACAGAAAATTATCTTCATTAAAGAGCCGTTCCGTTGATTACATTGGGAATAGATGTTTTTACATCTCATAAAAACATTACGACGCAGATTTGGATGGGCGCGAGATGAAAATGCGTACTATTCTCAACGCGTGCGAGCACTGGGAATGAAGCGAACATTTGTTTCAATGTGCGCCCTGGGACGGGGACGAGTCGTCGTTTCTTTGGAGCGTGACATTTTATAGCCATTAATTCGATTGCGAAAACGGGAATTCTTTGCTTATCATATGGAGAGCGCCAAAGTGTCCGGGCAATGTTTAATAAATTTGCCATGAAACACTGTTTCGTGAAACGAACGCAGAAGCAATGGGTTCTCGGATGACATTGCCGTATGTTATGTACATTTTTGTCTACTTCAGCTACAAATGCTAGCACGGCGTGTGTCATTGCCTTGCGTGCAATGTATTGCGTTGCGTATTAAACTGCTGAGCACTATAATGCACGAGAATTTACATAAAACATTTCACCTACAGACAAGGTATTAGAGACGAAAGAACACATCTAGACAGGTGGGATGCCACTAACTAACCGAACACGGTATCACTCGTCTGAACATTGCGAGCCGAACACGACTGCACAGGCAGGATTCATCGACCGACTGACTGTAAGCAGAGAATTGGTCTTATTCGTTAGTCAGTTAGTGGAGTCAGTCTCTTTGAATGATGCGTTCGAATGTTTTTCCTAAAATTGGCAGAATGCTAATTGTAATGTCACCGCTGTATGTAATGCGAGGGTCCTGTATCCATTATCAGCGCCATTGTTGATTCGGTCAATTTCAGGATAACTAAAGATAGAGATTTCCTGGCTAAGAACAGTCAAAACCAAAAACCCGCCCATAATAATAATAATACAATTAATTAAAAGACCGTAAATTTAAAAAGCGTATTAGTATTTTACGTGCACCGCTCTTACTAGGAGATTCAGTATCGCTAGGGAATGGCTCTTGCCTCCGTAAACTAAGAGTTCGTTATGGAATCCCCTGAGAAAATATTTTTGAGAATACTTTTTGTGAGAATAGAACTCAATATTTTGGATTCAAACGTAATTTTAATCGAAATTTGAATTACAAAATCGAAGATTCCAAGTTTTTCAAACCTCTAGGTCAAATCTCTGAATCTTCATGAAACATTTCTTTAGGTCAAGTGATGCTGAAAGTGTTAGTAGAAGTTGAAAAATTATACATTTACGTAATCGTTACCTGCACTGTTGCAATGACACGACTAATATTTATTATTCTTAATTAAACATTGTTTAAGTTAAACATATATATATATTTATAATATATATAATAATCATAATTATTCCACTTATATTTAATATATTTCTGATAAAGCATTTAATGGAGCCCCTTCTCAATTATATCCTCTTATTAATAAAAAAAATCATCACTAAAATAGAGGAATTTATTTCTCGTATCAATTCAGTCCTAAGATCATCAAAAACTTCCAATCTAGGGAAAGCCTCTTCTTCCGTTCTGAAAGCCTGGCAAAATTTCCAGAATAAAGAACTACGCAACAACTGCAACCAATGTTGCTGTTGCCGTTGTATATAACCAACAGACAACTTCATAGAGAACTAGGCAAAGAATCAATTACAAATTATATTTCCTTACTGCCGACCAAATTCTTTTCTTTTCTCCGAACTGTCCCTTGCACCAGCCACTTTAAACTACGTAAAACCAGCGTTGCTCCTACAAGAATTAAATCCTGTCTCCCAAAATATCTGTTCCGTTCCCCACAATCTAGAAGAATAATTATCTAGAAAAATAAATAGAATAGTGCCTCCATTTCATAAATAAAAGCTAACACACCTGTAAAGTGGTAATCGTACTGATCTGGTTAAATAGCATTTAAAGAAGTCTACTGCATCAACAGTTGTCTGAAGTTATGAATATCATTGTTGCTGTAGCGTAGGAACAGATCATACGAACTTCGTCCTCCTCTTCCACGAAATGAAAAGAAGAAACCGCTTTGTGTCCGTGGTCATATTGGTAAACATCATCAACATATCCCAACAGTTTTCATTATACCATTACAGCTACCGTTACATCTTAAAATTACATATATTTAATTACATCGGAGATAAGGACATAGTGTTACATTTAATTACGTTCAGCAAACGTGATTAGAAGTTTGGCTTCGCAAGGAACACTCTCATGCTTACTCGTACGTTAAATAAAAATCGGGTAAAATCATGGTACCTCTCTTTGAACAATTTAAACGGCAGATTTACCATGTCTACCTAACAATCAGAAACTAGTGGTGCTACAGAATGGCACAGACTATCTCGTACTAGTTAGTTTTCTAATGACTTTGATCTGGACTAGCTTTTTTATCTTTTCCTCTCCTCTTGCCTGCTGACATCAATCTCCGTCCAAAGTACATTTTTTCCTCTCGCAATTTTCGACTTTTAATGGTATACCCGAAATATTATTTCAATAATATTAAAGAGTAAAATCACGTCCTATATGGTAATTTTTGTTGAAAAATGCGGAGCATTGTTAAGAAAAATGCGATTAAGCGTTTCTGTAAATGGGAAATATGAAGCTCTGTTGTTTAGTTTCCAAAAATTTCCACTCACAAATGCACTAACGTATCAAATCGCTGTAAATGATTCAGCAAATCTGAATTCAGCAAAATGACTTTTAAGTCATATTATACAGTGTATTTAGACATCCTTGCAAATAGTCTGAATGAAAAAATTGGAGCAGTGTTTTAGAAAAAAGCGTTTAAGCGTTCTTGAAAATGGGAAATTATAAGTTCATTTTCACAAAAACCTTTGATTTTGAGAAAGTTTGTAACTATTTCAAGCACACGTACTCGTAACGGCAAAAAAGAACACAAATTGTGGAAAATATTCATATTAATGACGTAACCGAACTCACAAAATTACATTTTTGCGATTTTTGGAAAAACAAAATAATACAGGAAAATGGCGTTTATGTCACCTGTATCTGTACATTTAGAACTATACCCCCAATAAATTAAAAAAAATAATTGGAGGTGTTTTTGAGAAAATCATGTTTTTGACATTTTTAATATTGTATTCGTATTTCATGTAATATTGTGCGAAAACTAGAAAAACAATTGAAAACAATGTCATTCTTAATGGTGGAACTAATTATGGGTAATATCATTTGAAAGAAACATCTTCAGTTTTACAGTTTTAGGAAGAGGCCGAAAAACTTCATATTTTACAATTTTCAAAAATACACATTTAACAGTAAAAATCGGTCCTAAGCTATCTTCAAAAGTGTATTTTACTTTGTTCTTAAAAGAAATTTAATGAAAACTTTTGGAGCCATTTTTGAAAAAAAATTGAAATTGTCGAAGTGGCTTCAAGTAAAGTACTATCAAAAATTAATATATATTTTTTTCAAAATCGCAGAGTTTCGAATTGGTCCAACTCGAGAGGGATTTATTCAGTTTGGAAAAAATCTACGTATGGTTTGGGCCAGGGGTGTTCAATTGGCGGCCCGCATGTACGCCGAGATATTATAGTGGCCCGCAAACAGTTATTAGACAATCGTGAAAGTACCTTGCAACCACGTTGGCCGAGAATATTGCTCCTAGCGTATGCGCCCTTACGGGGTCAACATCCTATTAATGTAAAAATAGTTTAAGTTTGTATTTAAGGATTTTTTTCTTTAAAATTCAGGAATACAAAATCATCCCAAAGTGAATCACTGCGTCATGCATGGTTGAGTCTGTATCATGTGCAGTTCCATCACCCCCCCCCTTGTTTTGCAGCAGCCACGCAAACTGCTGAGATAAACAATACGGGGTCACGAGTGGATCGCCCGAGTAATAAAAATATTTTTTAGTTTGGCCCTTGCGGACCTACAAGTTGGAGACCCCTGGTTTCGGCGTTAGTGCTGTTCACATACGCCCAATACATGGACACACAGCAAAACGAACGGACGTTTTGAAAAAAAAATACAATACTCTTACAGTATCACGAGAACCCAAAATGTGTATTTTTGTCGAAATCTCGAAATCGATTTACCGCAGCATTACATAACATTTTATATTCTACGTATTACTCCGTATATACGTACGTAAAGAACAAAGTAAAATGGTTCCGTAGTATACGAGCAGATTAAGGAATGTATGTGAAGTGTATTTTTATGAAGACAATTTAGGTGCAATACGGTTACTCTTTATCGCAAAATGTGATAATTCTTGACGAGTCAATTGTCGTATTGGAAAGCGTTAGAATGGTTTTTAGATAATTGTTTTTCCCACTGTTGGGAAAATCACAATATAATCTTATAATTAACAACACTTTCCGATTTTAACAGCGAGGACAGTCACTTTTTTAACATTTGATTTTCAATTTCAACGTTCTCATATAACGTTTAGTACTGTTAAACTTTTTGAGTAACTGAGATGGCCACCTCTCATAATTTGCAATTTTTTTTCAGGCTCTTGACATGACTGGAATTGCATTTCCTTCCTACATCATTTATGGTCGCATCAAAGAATTAGAAGGTAATAACTGAAACTAATAAGCAAAGAAAACATTAACCAATGGGCAATATTGCTCATATTGATATAATTGAGCATTTGGTTGCAAGTAATGCCATTTGACCTGTACTAAATCGAGACCTTGATGGAGAGAGAGTATCTCTGTTTACATTCCAAGCCATTTCAAGAACAACGATCAATGAGACTCTTCGCTCCTATGCCTTAGGCCTCTCGTATCGACGTGGCACTTTGATCCTGAGAAATATAAAATGCGATTATTTATTCACCTGTTCGGCATTGTTGCCTTTCAGGGGTATTAATAAATACATCTGATTCACGTTTAGGCTTGGCCATTTATGCGAACAATAACTGTAGTGTGGCCGGCGAAAGTAGGAACGGTAAAAACTTAATTTCAATTTCAATTGAGTGAAAAGCAGCACGTCAATACATGCCAAATGACTCTTTCATTTTTGAAGAACCATGTGATTTAAGAGAATAGATTTTTACATTTTTTCTCTACCTTCGCAGTTCTGGCAGTAAGAAATTGTTCAGCGTACGATAATAGATATTTTTTTTAATGTTCCCCACGATTCTCATGAATCTAGTAGCAAACTTGTGGTACTACAACAGCACCTTTCTCGTATTAATGAAAAGACTTACTTAATGCAGAAATATTACAATTTCTGCGCTACTCACACCTCCGCTATTACATGAAAACGTCCAGTTAAAACACTGCATTCATTTCGATAAGAGCAGCAATCATTTCGTACTTTTACAAATGAAACAAACATATATTTTAACTGTTACAGTATTTACATTACATAATCCAGAAAATCAATAATATTGTACACAAGCTTGTGTGATTACACTAAAGATATCTTTCTTGAATACTATTATCAGCTATCAAAACTTCTTGCTGTTAAGAACTGTTACTTCTAAGTTTTATTATTACCTTCCTTCAATCTAGTTTCTTCCATAAGAATATTATCTACACCAAACAGTCATCACAACCGATAGCAATGGAATGATTTAGAAGAATCTTGAAAACCTGTGTTGCTATTTTGCGAAATGATAAGGCGACAGATGAAGGCATAGCAAGAAATGTTGGTAGTAACAAAGCCCGGCAAAAAGTTTCACGGTTGCTGCCAACTCGCCTTCAAAACCTTTTCCAACTAGTGTTCTAAAGTCATTTTAATGGGAATGATCACTATCTCTTTCTTCGAAAAATTTAAAGATTGGTTTTTAAATTTTCCACGCCTACCGCCAAATATTTCCATTTTTTAATTTAAATGGAACAACGTGACGTTGGAACAACAAAAATATACAAAATCAAGAATCTAAAACACACTACAATTACAGTTTAAATTAACAATAAAACATTACATTAAAAAAATTAAAACTCTCAAGTTACTACGAAGTATTTAGAAAATAAATCGATTGCTAACTTACTACTACTAAAACTATTGTAACATAATTGTTAATTAATTAGTAAATATTTAACAACAAAATAAATTATTTAAAACTGAATGTACGGCTATTTCCAAAAAAACTTTTACTCACGACCATTACAATATTAAGCTCTGCAAACACAATGACTTCGTGTGGTTAGAGCGATATATTCCCCAGTAGATAAATTATCCATATTACATTTATAAATAATTATTTACAAGAAAAGAGGTTTCTATGAGACATATGGAAGCAGAATGGGATCTAATAATAAGATTATATCTACAGCTTAAATTAATTAATTTTGATTCATGTACGGAAATTAAACTTTTTAAATTTGACATGAAAGACATACCGTTGACTAATTTCTGTACACGTTTCAACATATCGCGTGACCAAAGAGGGAAAAATAAATTATTTACAGAATTAACATTAGCTAACAATAGCCAAAATTTCCAGTGGTGTAAGTTCAACAGAGGAAGTAATTGGAACGCCAAAATGCGGGGGCCTATCATTTAAAGACATGCCATTAAGATCATTTTGTGATTATAAACTTAATTTTAGGAGTGAATACATTACTATAAATCCTTACAGAAAATAAATCATAATTTTTGTAATTTCATGATATAATTTAAAACGTAAATTTTGATCTTTTCTTCGCAATTTATGATAGTACAAATATTATTTTTTCCTGTCCAATTGATTAAATACTTAAATTATACAGACGATCATGTGCCATTCTACTTCTTAAATAATTTTAACCACCTTTAATTTTGAAAAAGAGTAATGTTCAAGAATTAAAAAGTTTGCAAAATCTTTAACAGTCACTAATTTTAAAATCTGACGCTTTAAACAAATCGCGCAAAGAAAATATCTGAGGCGAAATGTTTTCCGTAACATCCTCTATTTTGATTGAAGTGTTTGATGACTTCTTTAGGGCAATAAGACTTACCAAGAAGCTCAGTGAGTCGTTTATCGTCGCAAATGAAATCATGGGGTTAGAAGAAGATGGTCTTATAGAATATAATTCTCTTATATTTGAAAATTAATATTCTAATTTGAGAACTGGATTTATATTCTGTGCAAGGTGTGTGCATTCTGTGCATTCTGTACAGTAGAAATTTAAATTAAATTTAGGAATATTATATTGAGTGGTATCAGCAGTTGGATAATGTTTAAATTTGAATTATGGTTATTAATTCAGGATTTGTATTATTACGATTAAAAAACAATGTTACAGAATTTGTATAATAGATTTGTATTTTGTGACCTGAATCTGGATTAGCAGTTTATGTAAGGTTTGAAATGTTACGTAGTATTTTATCGACATTTAGATTACGATTATTAAATTTTATCGTACGTATATTCAAATCTGTAATATTACATATGATATCGATTGTGTATCATGAATTTTGTATTTGATTTGCATCTGAAAATGTAATTAGCATACCTCTGATAAGTACATGATGAACGAAGAGTGTGCAAAATTGTAAAAAGAAATAACTGAATAAAACATTATTATTATAATTATTACAATCTGTACTGCCTATTTTTTTTAAATCTCAATTTTAGCTTTCTTGTCCATTGAGGTATTTTGTAAAAATAAAATTTGTCATATGTATAAATCAAGAGAGTATTTTTTCCTGCAAACCGCTCGTCTTCCGAGAATCTCAGTATTGACGCCTTCTTTACATTAACCACAATTACGTGGTATTCATGCAAAATATTTCCTTGTTGCAGCTTTAGGTCAATTATCACCAGAACAGGAAAATGCTCGCTTTGTACCTCCCACGTGGACTCTGGAGCAGTTGGGCATTCTGGGGATCGCCATGGCGTTCGACTTCTCGCTGTTCCTCGGGTGCGTGCTGGTAAGATAAATATTATTTATAACAGATTCTGTGAATAAATCATAAGGAAATCTATGCTTAGGGAGGTCGGCTAACAAAGAACTCTCTACCCCAGTACCGTGAATGTCGAGAATAGTGTACGAGAGTGGAGATTGTAATGTTAATAAGACTGATAAATACACGCATATCACATTATTCGAAAAAGAGTGACGGCATATATTGGCACTGCAAGCAAATATATTTCGAGAATGTGGAATAGAAACTATATCTGGGATTCCCAGAACCTTACAAAAGAAGTGAAAAGAGGCAGAGACGAATGTCTTGGCAATATTTACAGCGGGAAATTAAATGCTATATAAACAATACACGTTCAGAGGAAATACGATCCCTAATCCTGCCAATGTTAAATGTTAAGACCTTTTCTCAGAACCTATTAAAGACAGGCAGTTTGCAGATGTCATTCATAATAACACTGAAACAACGGTTTTGAAATATGTTTACTATTTCTGTAGATTAGTACAAATAATAAAAAAACATTCTTATAAATAAAAAAACTTGTAAGAATGATAATATATTTCAAACGCCAATTCAAAGAGAAAATTGTGGAGATTTATGGAAAATAAATACCAAGAAAACATATTTGACCACAAAATGATGCCATTTCCCCTTAAAATGAAGAGGAAAATTATTAATAAGGTGTGAATATGAAAAGGAAAATTAAAGCATGTAATGGTCAGGCGTAGGACAAACCTAAAAGTAGAAGATATTAAGAATAGGCATGTGAAGATAACAAGACAGGATTCGAACATAATGGGAAGGATTTGAAATACCTGACATATGAGCAAGAAAATGGAACAAAAAAGATTAAAAGAGGTTAAAGAGAAAAGAGGAACAGATGCAAAAAGGTGAAGGAAGAGTAAACTATCACCATATAATTTCTCTCATTATTTGTAACTTTTGCCATTTTCGAAAACTAGGAGAAAGTTAAATAAATTTAAGACTTTCGCCTGTTTTGAAGAGTCCTTTATTGGAGAAAGTAATTCAATACAATATTTGGAAAGTTTTTTTAGATTTTAATTGCTTTAACTTCAAGCAAAAATTACGAACCGACAGACATTTTGAAAAAATATATTTATCCGTGTATACATACGAGAATTTAAAACACTTATTTCCATTTTAATTTCCACATTCTTAAGCGCGCGAGCATGCGGTGCGCATATGAAGAACTTTTGTAGGATCATTTGACACAATGTTTGGGATAACTATAAGTCTGATTTTTAGAGGCAAACATTTTATAATTTAGGTGCAAAAAATATTAAAAATTGGTGCATGCATGTTTAGGTGCAAAAAATAATTAATGCAAATATAAATACACAATTTTCTATCATAACATGACAAATGCACATGAAATGTTAAGGGTAAATATGTACGATTCATACAAACTATATTTTTTTTTAAATAGGTTTCATCATCAGTAATATCACAGTTCTCTGTCCTATTTAATTACATCCCAATGTCCAAGTAATCGAAATTTAAATGATTGTCTTCCAGAAAGGTTGAATAGACAAAAAAGATCTTTCTACGTCCTCTGACAACATTGGGAGCAATCCTAACACCTTTGGGACAATCCTTTCTTCTAATGGCAAATCATCAATCTTCTCTGTTTCTATGAAAATTCGCCATAGTTCAGCAGCAGGCAGTTGCCCCTCTGTAGTTAGTGGGTAGATGCACAGAGGAATTTGAAGGAGTGATCACACACGAATTCCCTTTCCAAAATTGTATTGTACAAACATTTTCCTGCATTACTAACAAAATAGCAACTCGCCCTTACCTCTATTCTTACTATTACAAGCAAAAGAAGAGTTCAACAAAACGTTCGCATAGTGAAGCTACATTTACGTCCAGAAGCAAAACAAGAGGCCATCTCAGCATTTGCAGTCTTTTAAAACATAATACAAATGTAAACTAATTCATTATATATTTATGGTTTGTTAAAATAAACATTATTTTTCTTTTTGATAATCAGTATAGTCTCGTATAGTATTGTCTACAAACAGTTATGCAGCAGAAAATATTTTACTTTTAACTTAAATTTGTGAACCGACTTCAATTGTTTAATATCATCTGGCAGTGCGCTGTAAAGTAACGTACGTGTATTCTATGTAGATTTCTGATAGTGATCTGTTGACACTTGATCATCGTGATTTTTACGACGTGTGTTGTAAAAATAAATATCAGTATTACATGGAAATATGTTCCCATCGATAAGTAAGTCACTTTTGACAAATTTTACAGATTCGTAAATATATAGGCAAGGCGGTGGTAAGATTCCCAGCTCAATGAAGAGAGGCTTAGGGTAACGCGGATGTAATTTTTTTCATTATTCGAATAATTTTCTTTTGCAATCTAAAGGTCGGAGAATTACATGATGAGTTTTCCCAGAAATTTATACCATATCTCAGGCGAGAATGTACATTTGCAAAATACACCCAACGTGCTGCATGAAGGCTGACACAATGTGATAGAATTCTGAATGCGTAACATAATGAACTTAATTTAGTGTTAGTAATTAATAGTGTGTTATTTAGTGTTAGTATAGTAATTTTCTTATATGTACATTCCATTTGAGGTTTGACTGAACTGACAGACCTAGAAATTTTGTTACCTACTCATCACTTAATAGCATATTATTCATTTTCAATGGAGCATGCAATTTTTGATTTGAAAGGCAAAAATACATTGAAACTGTTTTTCCTTCACTAACTATTAATTTGTTTAATGGTGTACGGATGATGATAATTGATGGTTTAAGTGTCTGTCAGGATGGCGGGCAAACAAATAGTCGAAATGACGCTATTCTATTACAAGGACATTTAATGTCTGGAACTTCGCAACCCCTTCTTTGTGCAGTAGCGTTACAGTATTTTAATTCTGGACAGAGGCCTATAGAGATAAATTCATTGACAGTGATAATCACCGCCCTATGCTGCCATCCCTCTGTGTGAGTGCCCTTTGTTCAGGTGCGTGCTATTGGTTCGCTTAGTTTCTTCTAGAATATTCCATGATGTGGATGCCTATTGGTCAACCCAGTTACCACTGATGACCTACATAATCTGGTCGTTCCAATAGGTTGTCATTGTTTAGCTACTGTTGACGATGGGTGGTCGGGGGAACATCTGCTGGGAGTTCGCGCTCTGGGTGAAGAATTAATACATTTGCGAGACAACGATTATCCCACTTTTCACGGCAACGCGGGTGTCAAGTGCACGAGGCAGGGTTTGATGGAGGTCGGGTGGCTAGGGTCGGAAGGTAGGGTACTGGAGGAGGGGGAGGTCTCATTGTTGTAAGTGGGAGGATGGTTTTGGAAGAGCGACGCTGTCGCTGTTTGTCGAGTTTTATACGCCTTCGGGTTTGCCTGCAGCTGCGTGTAGCTAATTTTAGGTAAGGGGCGGGGGCGGGAGGAGCGTTAGCTTGCGCGACCTATCACAAATAGCGCCCGTGTGAGATGTCAAGAATCTCAATGTCTTTCAATTCAACAGCCAGTGGTTGGTATTTTCTTTTCTCAGCAGTTGTTACAAGCCGGTCATCTGCAAGCATGAAGGGGCCGTAACATCAATGATGCATGATGTTTTAGATATTTTATCAAATAGCACAATATCTGGTCTACTTGCTTCCATTGTTCGATCAGTGATGAATATGCTATCCCACACAATTCGAACTCCATCATTGGTGTCTCCTTGCTCTAGTTTACACTTATAATAAGGTTGCTCACTCTCAATCAGGTCGTATCTCTTGGCAAGGGCTTGGTGGGTTACTTTGGCGACGCAGTTCTCTCTCTTAAGATATTCTGTTTGAGCTAATTGGGGGAATCCATAGAAAATATGCTGCAAATTGAACTCAGTAGGTTAACAAAGGGTACATCGGCTATCAATTTGTAGGCCCATTATGAATGTTTTATATTCTCTGGTTTTAACAACTTAATTTTGAATGGAGAAAATCCTTCAATCTAACAGAAGAGGCCACCGATTTGAAGCCAGGCCACTGAAATCTTCTTATCAATTTTCTCCGAAGTTAAAGTAGCAAAAAATATACCATGAGGTTCCTTTGTTTGCCAGGTATTCAGGCTTCACAAAATCAGAAGCTTTGCTTAATTGTGCCAGATATAGTGGGGTCATCTTTATATCTTAATCACAGGTAGCTTTGTGAACACACAAGTTAATGGACAGGAAGTACCGACGTAGCTTTTCTTCTTGCTGTCGGCAAAGTGCTTCCCAGTTAAGAAGGCTGTTTCCTGCACTACCTCAAGCTTGTTCGAACTTGTCAAGAGATTCAGTTAAAATGCGACGCAGTTAAAATGGAGTTTGGTATTGACAAATGAGCCACGCACTGAATTGGGTACGCACGGTATTGACAAAACAGCCACGCGCTGAACTCTTGAGGGTGGTGAAGTCGATGCATTGTAAGCGTAGTTTTTATTTTCCTACAAAACGTCTGTAAGAATGCTTCTGTCCATATTATTACACCATATCTGGAAGTTGCTATAGGAATAGCCCAAGAACTAACAGAAGATATTTTGCTTAAATTAATTCATGTTTTGGAGACTTTATTTACTCTCGATAGCAAATTCTGGACTCGCTTGTTCCTAACGTCTGAATAGAAAATTGCCAACAACTGTAGCATTCCCAGATATGTGTGGGAGTCTTCGGTGCTACAATTATTAATAATGGTTTCACCAGATGTTGGCATAATTTTGTTCTTCGCTTTAGTCGTCCTCGCGAACAATATAAAGGGTAGCTCATTTTTCAATACCAAACTCCATTTCAACTGCGTCGCATTTTAACTCAATCTCTTGACTAGTTCGAACTCGTTTTGTGTGTGATCTCTATTAGAATCATATAGTTTTCAGATCATCCATGTAGAGCTGGTGCGAGATACGAACATCAATGTATTATTATTATTATTATTATTATTATTATTATTATTATTATTATTATTATTATTATTATTATGGCCAGCAACAT